CAAATAGAACTTTCATAAATGGAGAGACAAAATGTGGTAGAAGTAATTTCTAACAAAGGAGGAATTACAATAAATATAAATAAATTATCCTCACCAATCAAAAGCAGATCCTTTCAGATTGTATTAAAAACAAGATCTTCATAAACTGCATTTAAAAAAAAAGCTTACAGAAAGATTAAGAATAGAGACATAAAATGATATTAGACAAATACAATTAGATAGTAGATTAAAATAACAATTTCAAAATTGGCCCCATTAGAAATGGAGATAAGTTATCATTGTCAAAAATCATAGATTCAATATAAGCACCATATCAACGTATGTTATGTTTTAAATATGTAAAGCAAAATGACAGAACTGTGGTGAAATAAAGGTAAATCAATAGCTGAGTTAGAGAACCCTTAAAAATTGTTAAACAGATCAAAAAGTAAAAGCAAGGACATAAAAGATGTAAACAAGAGCATTTAGAAGGAAATCTGGTGCTTTAAATGCAACTACAAGCATAACAATAAAATACACTTTCCACTGAAGAAGCTAAAGTGAAAGATCTCTACAACAACTACATAACACTGATAAATCAGAGATGACACAAAGGGAAAAACATTCCATGTATGATAAGAATCAATATTGTTAAAATGGTTATACTTCCCAAAGCCATTTATAGATTCAATGCTATTTCTATCAAACTACCAATGTCATTATTTACAGAATTAAAAAAAAAAAAACTATTCTAAAATTTGTGTGGAACCAAAAAGGAGCCTGAATAGGCAAAGCAATCCTAAGAAAAAAGAACAAAGCTGGAGGTATCACACTACCTATCCTAAAACTGTATTACGAGGCTTTGGTAACCAAACAACATGATACTGGTATAAAACAGACACACAGACCAATGGAACAGGGTTGAGAACCCAGAAATAAAGCCACACACCTACAACCATATGATATTTGACAAAGTCAACAATAACAAGCAATGAGGAAAAGACTCTTTAATAAATTGTACTAGGATAACTGATATGCAGAAGACTGAAACTGAACCCCTACCTTTCATCATATACAAAAATTAACTCAAGATAGGTTAAAGACTTAAATGTAAGACCTCAAACTATAAAAACCTAGACACAAACCTAGAAGATATCATTCTTCACATCACCTTGGCAAATAATTTATGACTAAATCCCCAAAAGCAATTGTAACAAAAACAAAAATTGACAAATATGACCTAAACTAAAGAGCTTCTGCACAGCAAAAGAAACTGTCAATAGAGTAAACAGACAACATACAGAATGGGATAAAATATTGGCAAAGTATGCATCTGACATATGTCTACTATCTAAAATTTATAAGGAACTCAATCTCACAAGTCAAAACCAAATAATCCCTTTAAAAATGGGCAAAAGACATGAACAGACACTTCTTGAAAGAAGACATACATAAATCTATAAAAAACTTCAACATCACTATTCACTAGAGTGAATAAAAAACTACAATGAGATGCCAACTCATACCAGTCAGAATGACTAATTATTAAAAAGTCTAAAAATAACAGATGTTGGAGAAGTTGCAGAGAAAATGAAACACTTATACACTGTTAGTGGAAATGTAAAATTAGTGCATCTAGTGTGGAAAGTAGTTTTGTGATTTCTCAAAGAACTTAAAATGGAACTACCATTTTTCCCTGCAATCCCCTTACTGGCTCTATGCCCAAATGAAAATAAATTGTTCTACCAAAAAGATAAATGCACTTGTAGGTTCACTGAAGCACTATTCACAATAGCAAAGATATGGAATCAATCTAGATGTCCATCACTAGTGGACTGGATAAAGACAATATGGTACATAAACACCATGGAATACTATGCATCCATGAAAAATAACAAAATCTTGTCCTTTGCAGCAACATGTATGGTCATTATTGTAAGTGAATTAATGAAGGAACAGAAAAACAAACACTGTATGTTCTCACTTATAAGTGGGAGCTAAATACTGAGTACACGCAGACACAAAGATGAGAACAATAAACACTGGGGACCACTAGAGATGGAAGGGTAAAATGGGGTGATGGTTGAGAAACTACTAGTGCAAAACTAGTACTGTGCTCACTAGTTGGGTGACAGGATCATTTGTACACCAAATCTCAGTGACATGCTGAGTACTATGCTGGGTACTATGCTTGCTACTTGGGTGACAGGATTATTTGTACACTAAATATAAGTGGCATGTTATTTACACATGTAAGAAACCTGCACATGTACCCAATGAACCTAAAATAAAAATTAAACCCCCCACCAAATGTGTGGAGAAAGTTAGAAGGGACATCCATGAAGTTAAGTTGTGGGAGATAAAGAAGCTGTAATTGTTTGTATATGTAAAAATATAAAAAGAGAAAGAGCATAATTCTATCTCAGACAAAAGAGGAAGAATAAAATATAAAGAGAATATAAAATTTATGGATTAAGAAATATACTCTATACATGAGAACAGACAAATAGGTTTGAAATCTTTGGAAAGATTAGTAACATATACAGGTGTCAGTTAATACTGATAAAAAAAAGTTGAAAATTAGCAAAATATAGAATAAAAAGGGTGATGCCAATTTAGGTGTAATGCACAGATGTATAATTATTTGTGTAATGAAAATTATAAAGACAGCAAATACTATTAATGAGACCTATAAACTCATAAACCTAGATGAAGCTGAAACATTTTTTTTTAAATTCCAGAATCATCAGAAGAGGAAATAAAAAATTTGCAAGTTCTAAAATTCACAAGAGAAACTGAAATAGTTATCAAAAAAGTTTGCATTCTTACTCCTACTCCTCCCCATTAAACTCCTGAACCCAAATGGTTTATAAGTGACTTCTAAAAAACAAAACAAAATAAAATTTTAAAAAACAATCCTTTCCTTATACATGCTTTCCTAGATAATAGAATAATAGAAAAGGCCAAAGTGCCTTAATCATTCTTTGATACTTGTAAAAAACTAATTTTTTTTACTTGATAAAAATATAAAAATTATAGAAAAAATTATTTATAAATTTATATGTAAAAATTTTAAGAAAATCATTAAACCACACACTAAAATTTTGAGAAAAGCCAAAACATCACGATGATCATGTATGGTTTACCTCAGTAACACAAGGAGGATTTTATATCAGAAACTATCAATGTAATGGTTTTAATTTACTAAGGAAACAAATCATATGCTTAGTTCAATATAAGTAGAAAAATTATTAAATAGAATTTAATTTCTGTTTATAATACAACTTTTCACAAAATTAGGCATAAATGAGAACCTCATTAATTAGTTAGAGGCTATATGAAAAACTTTCAGCAAGCATTTTTTAAAGAAGAAACTTGCCAGGCGTGGTGGCTCATGCCTGTAATCCCAGCACTTTGGGAGGCTGAGGTGGGTGGATCATGAGGTCAAGAGATCGAGACCATCCTGGTCAACATGGTGAAACCCCGTCTTTACTAAAAATACAACAAATTAGCTGGGCGTGGTGGTGCATGCCTGTAATCCCAGCTACTCAGGAGGCTGAGGCAGGAGAGTTGCCTGAACCCAGGAGGCGGAGGTTGCGGTGAGCCAAGATCGTGCCATTGCACTCTAGCCTGGGTAACAAGAGCAAAACTCCATCTCAAAAGAAAGAAAGAAAGAAAGAAACTTAAGGTATATTTAATATTAGACAAGAAAGCATCATGTCACCTAGTACTAGAGGATAGAACCAATATGACAAAACAAGAAATACAATAAGATATCACTACTGGAAGATGAAAGAGTTACAGATAATTTAATCATTTGTGGAAACTAACAAGTCTTCTACACTATTTGGGATAGAACTTGTAAGAGTAGTTCTAGATAAGACATATTAAAACAATCAATAATATTCTCTAACAGTAGTAAATTAGTAAAATATATCCATCATTTGTCATATACCAGCAAAACTTTAAGATATAAATATATGAACCTAATAAGAAGTCTAAAAATTGTTTTGGAGAAATTACCATGTCTATCAAAAGGCATATAAGAGCTGAATGAATACAGAGATCTATGTTCATGGATGGGGCAACTTAACATTTTAAAGGTGTCAAATTGTCCCAAATTAAATAAAAAATGCATAGAATTCCAATCAAAATTTATGCAGAGAAACTTGAAATATTAGGTCTAAAATATACAAACGTCTGTAAGTAAGTGATAATTTTGGAAGAGCAAAAGGGAATATGTTCCCTACTCTACATTATTATGGAACTATAAAATTAAAAGAAAAATGGCCTGCCACATGAACAGACAAGTAAAACTGTTTAAAGAGCCATTAACAGTTTCATATGGAATACGGTATAACATTAAGGTGACTATTTTAATTTGCCTGTGAAAATTTTACTGTATTTATGCTTATTGACCTAGCAAAATTAAAAATAATGTCCTCTTTTACTTTTTGGTTTGAAATATGTTGTATGATATCCTCATATATAATCAACAGATACAATAAATCAATGGAGGAAAGATAGACTTTTAAAAAGCATATAGTATTGGCAAAACTGGCTTGATAAGTACAGAAAAATAAAATTTGATAAAATTTTGAATTAAACATTAGTATATAAAATATAAAGATAATGTAAAGATAAACTGGTAAGAAAATATTGGAAAGCATCTTGGTGATTTTGGGGTGGGGAATTATCTGTGGAATAAAACCCCCAAAGTTAAAAGTGTAATAGGAAAAAAAAATGAATGGATCTGATACATCATAATTAGGAATTTCTGTTCATTGAAGGACACTGTAGATAAAGACAGCAGATGGGAGGCAGACTGGGTGAAGATAATCACAACATTTAAAACTGACAAGGGATTAATATCTAGAATAATTAAGCAATTCCAGCAAATCAACAAGGAAAAGAGAGAAATTGGCAAAAAAAAAAAAAATGAATAGACAATTCACAGAAGGGTAAACCCAAATTATTTACATGCTCATGAAAAGAACCCCAACATCATAAGTAATCAGAGAGCTATAAATTAAAACCATAATGACACTCACTTTACACCTATCAGATTGATAAAAATGAGAAAGTCAAATGGTATTACTGTTGGCACAGATGTGAGAGAATGAATTCTTATGCACTGCTGGTGGAAGTGGAAACTGGTGAGCCATTCTGAGGGCAATCTGTTGAAAGTGTACACACACACACACACACACACACACACACACACACACACATATATACCCCTTGGCCCAGAAATTCCACTAGGGGAACTTATGCAGTGTCATATGTGACATATACAAGGAATAGCTATCTAGATGTAATAGCATTACAGTTTGGGTAGCGAGGTGTTGCTCTTTGGAAATATTCAGAAAGAAATGGAGCACAGGGAAGCCAGAGCTGGCTCTCTGTAGGATTATATTCTTTGCTGAATCTTCAGTAGGAAGAAAGCAAAGGTTATTTCCTTTCTGCTCCAATCCTAGGGTATTGTCAAGGCTCAGATACACCCTTGATCTGGCACTGTCCAAACTTTCAGGGCCCTGTTGTGAAATTCCCTGGGAAATTAAATATATGAAAGGTGTTGGAAATTCAGTGGAGCATTTTAAAAAATAAGGTTACCATGAGATGAGGGCAATGTTTAGACGAAAGGGGAAAATGATACAATTTAGATTTCAGTGACAGCTAAATAACAGAAATCCATGGCATCACTGAGTGCAGACACAGAGGCTCCAACAGAAATTTGGAGACCTCTGTAGCTCTTTCCTTCTGGGTAATGAAAAGAAAGCAATTCCATAAAGGAATATGACAGTGAAAATTTCTATTGAAAACAATTTTAGGAGAAGTCTAGTTTTGAAGTGCAAATTAAGAGAGAGTGTAAACTTGTTTTCCTATCATTTCCTGAAAGCCAGAAAAATAGGTGAAGCTTGTCCTGATTCAGATGGCACCTTGGAAAGGAGATCATCTTGATATCTTCTTCTCACTCCTAATTTTTTTGACTTTTCAAAGAACAATAGAACCTTAGAGCTAGAAGTAGCCTCTAAAGTGAACTAACACAGCTCCAGTCAGCTATGGAATTCTTCCTGCAAACATGCATTTCCTAATATATGAACCTCAAGAATCTACTGGAACCAGGCCATTGATCAATTACTTTCAGACACATTACTCCATCCTCAAGAGAGTCACATAAGCTCTTTCTATAGAGCTATCCCTGGAAAGCTACCTCCTTGACACCCTAAGGCCAGGTTATAACTCTTGGACCTAGCCCGCCTCCATTAAACTCCAAAGTTGGGGATTACATTTTTTATAAGTCTTGTCTTCTCTTGAATGGCCTCATTGTGGTAGATGAAAGAAATGAATTTTAATGAAAGTGAATTAATTTTAATTAAAATTAAATGGACTTTTATTTCCCCTTAGACATTTAAGAAAACAGCAAAATATTGAATTTCTATCCCCTCTCTAACCATCCCCCTAGTTATTTTCAGGTATTCCCAGAGGTGTACCTGATGGACGAATAAACCTCCTCAGTTTGGGTTGTCAAAGTGTTTGTTTCCCCGGTACTTTCATCACTGTTGCTGCTGGTGTTCCCCACGGATGGTGCCAAAAGAGTTATACCAAGGGTTCTGTCTTCTCTTGCTCTCAAAATACCACCTCACGCCATTGCTTGGCTTCCTACTGTGGCTAAGGCTCTTGGCATCTTTCAGTAGGAGCACAATGCCATTCTATCCACCATTAAGAGCATTGCTGTGTTTCCCTGCTAAGCTGGTATCACCCCTGATACTGGTGCTACTTCTGCTCATATCTTCTGCAATGGGAGGAATCCCTTTTTCCCAACCTTGTACCATTGTCTGTTACACTGGTTCCACAATGGTACGATCCCTTACTCTCAAAGTCTTAAAGAAACAATGGGTAAAACATTCTATCCAGGTTGTTTTCTTTCCCTGTGATTTGGGCACAAGTCCCTAGGGACTGAGCCACGTGATGAGTCAAATGGTGGTCCTCAGTGTTATTCTTCCTCTCTTGCTCAGAGGTACTTTTCAGGCATCTCTGCCTGGGCTTTGGCAGCTATTCCTTAGATTGACTTACTTCCCAGGAGGCTCCTTGAGTTTGTTCAGCTCTGCTCGCCTCTCTGCAGTCTTCTGGTCTTTCCCTGACTTGTTTCCATTTTAGTCTGAGAGCAGCTACAACTTGAACCAACGTGCCTTTGCACTTTATCTGGATAACATCGCACCTGTCGATCCTGATGGAGGAAAACAGAATCAGGGAACTCTTGAAGCACAGACCAGCCATAGCCATTTTAGGATGTCATTAGGCTCCTCTACTTCTTCTTTCCTTATTCTTCCCAATTCTTTGCTTCCTTCTTGCTAAGTTGGAAGGAGCACACCTCCCCCTAGAAATGGGATCATTTCACAAGCTGGAGTCTCACTTAGCATGGTCATTGCATTCCTTAAACTCACCTCCAGGCCCCAGATGAGAAACTAAAAGCTGCTTGAATTATTCAAGTAACAGGAAAAATGTAGTATTGCAACTAAGAATTTGACCTTGGAAATCAGAGAGTCTCAAGTTCAAATCTTGACTCTTTCCCTTTCTGACTGGATGCTTTGGGCAGATTATTTAACAACTCCAAGCCTCAGTTTTCTTATTTGTAAAATGAGAATAACAATAGCGCGTACTTCAAAGGACTATTGTGATTAAATAAGCACTCAATGTGTGGGAGATATTATTGTTTCTAATTAGGGAGCAAAGCAAAACGGCATGGGCAAGGCCCTCATGGCTTCACTTCTCATCCCCTGGGTGGGGAGGTGGAAGCAAGCTTCCTAGTCTTAGCCCTTTACTCAGATGCCAGCAATTTTCTGCCATGTTACCTGGTGATGGGGCCCTCTGGTGGCAGGAGAGAATGTAATTTCTTTTTGAGAGACCAGCTTGCTTAGATTTGCTTTCAAGTGGAGGTGAAGGGTTGGGGAAAACTCCAGCAGATTCTGAATCTGCCATGCAAAAAGGCCTTGGATTCACATACTGAGCTGTCTCTGTTGCTGCAAAACTGTTTATTTCCTTAGTATGTTGAACGTAAAATATACAGCTAGACACAAATCCCAAGCCTCACCTAACAATTTGGATTCTGATATGAAAATTGACTTTCCTACCTCCAGCCTTGGGATGCTTCTGTATGGTTAAGGCTAACTTAGAGGCTTGTTTCTGAACCAGCAGGGAGCTCTGTAAACACATGTTGATGGGAATTGACCTATCTTCTTAAGGTTAAGTCCTTAAGAAGCCCTGAGCATTAAACAATGAAATAATGTCATCTTTAGAAATTTAAAAAATCTGAAATTATAAAATAAGTATGAAAAAGTCAAAGAAAGATAAACTTATACCCATAATGACAACTTTAATGTCCTTTTTTGAACTAACAAAAATAAATTTCTTTTCCAATTTCACTTCTTTTGGTTAATTTTATTTTTCTAGTGTTTTACCTTGTGTTTTATCCCTCTTTGAGTCATCCAGATCTGCTAGGCATATAATAAGCTTTATGTCAGTGGTGAATAAAATATTGGCAACATTTTCTATCTATAAGATGTTTAATAATTTATAAATTACTTAGGTATGCGTTATGTCTCAAAAATCTCATGCCAAAAATCCTGGTTCATTATGGATTTTCAAGAAGTACTTTCTGAATGAAGAGCAAGGAGGAAGACGTTGTATCTTCAGATGGACAAATAGAGTCTTAGAGAAGTTGTGTAGATCACTGGGCTAGGAGGGGTCAGAGTTGGCCCACCAACCCAGGTCTTCTGACTGCCTCTTTATGTTGTATCTCAGCTGCTTGAGGCATACTTGATGACCCATCATGAAAATGAACTAGTCATGCTTGAAGAAAAGTATGCCACACAAAGAAACAATAGTTTCTTTGGGCATTGAGATAAATCATCATATCACAACACGTAATCTACTAAGGTAGGAGGAACCTTATTTTATGGATGAGGAAACTGAAGTCCATAAGGAGGAAGAGCTACAAGTAGGAGGCTGCATGGTGGCTCACCAGAAGAGCTGGAAACCCCGGTCTCAACTCAAAGACCCGCATAAAGGAGATAGCTGAAACAAGCTAGGGTAGGCCTGGTGACTGTCACAATTTGTAATGAGAGACAATGACCACACTGTTCACCCATTGTTTATTCTCCAAATATTTTGTAAAGCAAAGGAGAACACTATGACATCTACTAACTAAAAGGCCTTTCTAATCTCACCTTGTTTCACAAGGTTGCAATTAAATGGGCCCTTTCAAAAAACAGAGGGAAAACTATATAGACTGAATCCAAACCAAAAGGTAAATTGAAACCACAAAATACTGGCTTGAACATAGGGCCTGAGTTTTAGTAAAAATAAAATCCTTTCTTTGGGGAAACAACATGATGGGAAACAGACTAAAGAGTACAGTTTAAAGGTCATTGCAAAGACCCCGAGACTTGGGTTTAGGAGTGTCAGATTGCAGAGATGCTTTCAACACTTCCACTGACTTTCTCTGTGACCTTGTGAAAGAAATGTTCTTTCTTAGCCTCAGTTTTTTCCATTCACAAGAATGACAAGGTTGGACTGCATATCATACGGGCTCTTTATGGGATCTGACCTTTTGTGACATTAAGTGTTCTCTTTATTTTTCATATTTTCACCCCTGATGGAAGAACAATTTGTTGACTTGCTAAGAGGCAGACTGTCATAAAAGCCAATCGTCTGCTTAACTCCATTACAAGTTTTTGGGCGACAGCTCCCTTTGGAGACTGGCTTGTAGATATTGACAGCATGCCATTCACCACCTCAGTTTAGGCGCTGCAATGGCCCTGGAATTCTATGACACCCACTCTTTTGAATTGAAGGAGGGCACAGTGACATTGGCATTTCTGCTTGGGGCTAGTGGTTGAATCACTCTTTAAAACTAGTAGTCGGGTTGTGATCCAAAGCTTATTGGAGCCAAAAGTTTCCACAAGGATGTCATTAAGAGAAGTGACTTTTATTCCCAGAGAAGAAAGCTGGATCTCTCCTGATGATGAGGTCTGTGAATAACGGGTGCCATCTACAGCATTTGAGCAGTACCCAGTAGTGGGACTCAGACAAATAGCTTCATTTTTTTCATGTTTCCATCTCATGATCCAGTATCAATGTTTTGCTGGGTGTCTGTGTCTCTTACAATAGTAGGCACAAGGTAGATATTCAGCAAATGCTTGATCAATAAATGAACATATAAATATTACTCTCTTAAATTAGTTAATCTCCTCAAAGAATAGTAGAGAGAGAGAGAGAAGACCTGCGAGTAAATAAATACAAGGCAAATTGTCAGAAAGAGACAAGATAAGTATCACAGGGACTCCAGAGCTAGAGAGGTTAGATGGAGCATCATGAAAAAGAAGAAAATATGGCTGGGTGTGGTGGCTCACACCTGTAATCCCAGCACTTTGGCCAGAGTGGCTGGATCACCTGAGGACAGGACTTTGAGGCCAACCTGGCCAACATGGCAAAACCCCATCTCTACTGACATACAAAAATTAGCCAGGCATAATGGTGGGTGCCTGTAATCCCAGTTACTAGGGAGGCAGAGGCAGGAGAATCACTTGAACCTGGGAGGCAGAGGTTGCAGTGAGCTGAGATTGTTCCATTGCACCACTCCAGCCTGGGTGACAAGAGTGAAACTCTGTCAAAAAAAAAAAAATGTGAACTGAGCTTTGAAGGACAGTTCTGTTTTTAAAATGTAAGAATGGCAAAGAATTGAAAGAGGTTACTAAGCTGAAGAAGAGCATAAGCAAGGGTGAAGGGGAACTATGTTGTACAGCCAAAAGCAATGGCTGAGGATGCATGAGGAAGGGAAGGCATTTGAAAAAGGCAGTTGGTGAGAAGGTCTTCTTGAGGAGAAACTTGAATGACAGAATGTTTGGACATTTATATAAAATGAATAGCCACTGATTGGTTTTGAGAAAGGGAATGATATGATCAGAACAAAGGGGTAGAATTAATTCATTTAAACCAATAACAGTATAATATGAAAGGGCCATAACATTAGATTTTATTTCAAAGTGTGGTTTGGTTTTTGACAGTGTAATGCTCATCCTGGGTGAAGAAAATGAACTTTTTCAGCCATCAGAGTATTCACTAATATTCTTGGAAAATCATCAAATCAAACTCCTGTCTTAGAAGATCTAATGTATCCAGCATAAGCTGAGATGTACCCTTAGAGAGTTTATTTAACTGTGGCCTTCATGGAGTAAGGTCTATTTTTAATCAATGCTTATATATTTTTTTAAACATTACACTAAGATAAACATCTGAAATGGCAAACATGATATTTCAGTCTGAAGAACACCAAAAGACTGCCCCAAAATGATGACCTTATTTTGAGCATTAATACAATCTAATTGCTAACTCCATAACACTCTGTTGCAAAAATCCACTATATTCATCAATGTCCAGGTCCAATTTTCTACTTCATCTGTACAAGTGAGTGACTTCTTTAATTGTTATTCAACAATCATGGTAAAGAAGGTCAAGTCTCAAATTATATATTTCTAAATAATAAGATCAGAATTTATACATTTTGTGGACAAATGTAAGTGGAAATGATGGCAGCTCTTGGAATGAGATGTTCAGACTTCATTTTGATGCTATTAATTCTTAGCAGTTATCAGGACAGGTTACTTGATCTTTCTAAACCTTAGCTTCTTAATCTGCAATGTGGGAAAATGTCTGTACAGTGCGAAATATCTGTACAGTGCATGGAATAGAAGCTGGTACAGAATAACTATCTGCTAAATGGTAGCTATTTTAATCTTTTTTTTTTTGGTGGAGTTTCACTCTCATTGCCCATTCTGGAGTGCAATGGCACAATCTCGGCTCATTGCAACCTCTCCCTCATGGGTTCAAGTGAATCTCCTGCCTTGGCCTCCTGAGTAGCTGGGATTACAGGCATGTGCCACCCCGCCTGGCTAATTTTGTATTTTTAGTAGAGATGGGGTTTCTCCATGTTGGTCAGGCTGGTCTCGAACTCCTGACCTCAGGTAATCGCCCACCTCAGCCTCCCAAAGTACTCCCAAAGTGCTGATTACAGGAGTAAGTCACCGCAGCCGGCATCATCATCATTGTTGCTAATATTATATATTTTTCCTAGATTGTGGATTTACACAGTAAGAAATTATTTGTTATAACTGGAACAGTGTTGGGCTCAGATATATTTAGATCATAGCAACAAGGCTTGCAGTGGAG